CAGCGGGGCTCGGGGAGACCCCTCCCCTCCCCTCCTCAGCCCCCCCAGCCCACCTGGAGGTCGCGGTGGGCTTTGCGCAGGTTGTGCTTCAGCATGAAATCCTCGTGGCCCGAGCCCAGGCTGCCCAGGCTCTCTCCCAGTAACACCAGTAAGGAGTGGAACAGCATCCGAGCGTGGGACGAGAGCGGCTCGGCCGCCTGGCGCCTGCGGCAACGCGGGACCGGGATTGGGATCGGGATCGGGACCGGGATTGGGACCGGGATTGGGATCGGGACCGGGATGGGAACCGGGATTGGGACCGAGATTGGGACCGGGACCGGGACCGGGATCGGGATCGGGATTAGCATCGGGGCCGGGATTGGGATCGGGATTGGGACCGGGATCGGGATGGGGATCGGGATCGGGATTGGGACCGGGATCGGGATCAGCATCGGGACCGGGATTGGCATTGGTACCGGGATCGGCATTGGTACCGGGATCGGGATCGGTACCGGGATCGGGATCGGGACCGGCACGGCCCGAGCCCCCCGGTGCGTCCCCCGGTGTGGCTCCCAGGGTTGGGGATACCCAAAAAGGGCGGGTGACCATCCTGGGGACACTCAAAAATGGCCGGGGACACCCAAAAAAGGGCTGGGGACACCCAAACGCGGCCGGTCCCAAATCTGGGGACACCCAAACGCAGCCGGTCACCATCTCGGGCACCCAAACGGGGCCGGTCCCCGTCCCGGTGACCCAAACACGCCCGGTCCCCATCCCAGACACCCAAACACGGTCAGTCCCAAACCTGGGGACACCCCAAATGCAGCCGGTGACACTCAAACGTGGCCGGTCCCATCCCAGACACCCAAAAACGGTCAGTCACCACCCTGGGGACACCCAAACGTGGCCAGTCCCCATCCCGGTGACCCAAACACCCCCGATCCCCCCCGTTACCAGTTCTGGCCCTCGATCCAGGCGGCCAAGCACTGGCGCACGGCCATGGGCAGCGCCGAGCCCGCGTACAGCTGGTGCACCTGCTCCAGGTAGGTGTTGGCCAGGTTCTGCACCTCCTGCCACTGCGCCATGCTGCGGGGACAGCGGGACAGGAGTGTCCCCAGAGTCCCGGGAATGGTGGCACCGGGGGACGGGAAATACGGGGCAGGGATGTCCCGAAATCCCCCGGCACGGTGGCACCGGGGGATGGGAAAAACGGGTAAAGGGTGTCCCGAGACCCCCGGGCACGGTGGCACCGGAGGACGGAAAATACGGGTCAGGGACGTCCCGGGACCCCCGGGCATGGTGGCACCGGGGGACGGGAAATACGGGGCAGGGGTGTCACGAGACCCCCGGGCACGGTGGCACCGGGGGATGGGAAACACCCGCGTGTCCGAGCGGGGAACCGCTGGGCCCCCCGTACCTGTCCGTAGCCCAGGGATCCCGGGGGTCCCGCTGCTCTTGCTCGGTCCCGGCTGTTCCCGGGGATCCCCTCGCTCCTGCTCGGTCCCGGGGGTCCCGGTGGTCCCGGGGGTCCCCTCTCTCCTGATCGGTCCCGGGGATCCCGCTGCCCCGGCTCGGTCCCGGCTATTCCCGGGGATCCCTCTGCTCCTGCTCGGTCCCGGGGTTCCCGCTGGTCCCCTCGCTCCTGCTCGGGTGGCCGCGGGACGGGAACGGGGCTGAACCGGGGCGGGGGCACACGCACATAACCCACACCTCGAGGGCCCCCAGCACCCCCTGTGC